TCGATGGCAGCAAGTGATGAAGAAATTCGCTGGTTCAAGATGGACACAAACAGGAGAAAACAGAAGCTCGTGACAAAAACAACGAATCGAAAATGACGGCTGATGATGAAGAGGATAAAGGATTATTGTACAATTAATTAATTAATTCAAGTTTAAACCATTACCTTATGATAATAAAAGTAAATTAAGAAGTTGAAACCTTTCCTCGATCGAATCCCTTGGCTTACAGAACCGAGACGAAGGCAAATAGGCAAAAACTGATCCACCGCCAAAGTACTTTTTCTTCATACAAGAAGCGACATTATTCTTCACCAGCAAAGCGCCAATGCCTGTCGGATAGCCGAAGATCTTGTAGAATGACAGTGCAACGAAGTCTGCTGGGTATCGCGAAAGATCAACGGTGTCGCATGATAACAGCGCAGCTGCATCGACACATACAGACCAGCTGGCACCATTCAGTGACCGCTGCTGGATGGCGGTTATCCATTTAGATGGATACTTGCGACCACAGAAGTTGCTCTGTCCGGGATAAACGAAAAGTGCGCGACAATCGCAACGAGGACACAGGTCAGCGGATTGTAGCAGAAGTCTCTGAACATCGGTTTCTTTCAAACAAATCACAGATGCTCCTGCGTCAAGAGCATATTCCCTCATGCCAATAACCGACGTATGATTGTCAAGCAAATAAGCAAACAACGAACCACTGGGCAGCTGATTGCCACTGACCTGAAACAGTGAAGTTCGTGAAGCACAATCCGCTGTCTGGTGGCCACAACAGTGAGAACAGCTAGGCTGCCAAGGAAACGTCTCGGCAAGAAGCTTGAGAGCCGCTGTAGCCCCGGATGTGAATATAACAGAGTAGTCCTTCGACGTGGTGTTGAAATGTGATAAAATCCTAAAATTAATTTTTGATCAGAAAGTAGTTATCGTTCAAGATTTTCATTATTATGCATTTAAGCTTAGTCTCTGCAAGTTAACCGTCGTCCTATGGATATGCTTTATCAGGTTAGGATGATGTGCATGTGATGATAGGAGAATAACCCCTTCTAGTTGAAACTTTTCTCTACAATTCAACATCAGTTTCCATTCGCCTGTCTTCCTCCAGCTGCCGGTCTCCTGCTCACCTACGCCCACAATTCAAGCGTTGGCAAGTCGGAACTCCTTCGATTTTCCCCTTGCTTTTTCCTCCATCTATTCATTTGGTGAAGGATAAGACGGAAATACGATGCTAAAGGTTGCTGTAACTTAATCCCATACAAGTAACTCTAAGCGTAATGTGACTTGTGACCACTGCATTGGTTTTCATCCACGTTATATAAACATAAAGTATCACATATAAAATATGTTCATATGGTACACATAAAGAGCAACTCCAATAATAGAAAAGCTCACCGAAAGCGGTCAATATGGGTTCAATCATAATAAAAGAAGATCAGGAAAATTAGTAGCTAATACGGTCTATACACGGATAATATGAGGGAGCCGAAGAACGGCAAGACAGATGGCTCGATGTTGTAAAAAGCGACATGCAGCAGAGTGGGCAACCGATAACTTAGGTGCGGTCACAGTACGAAGATGAAACTGGCCTGTACAACGAACACTTTTAAAGGAATTTAAGGCGAAGTTTGAAGCAGATGTTGACTCGCTCTACCAGCTGAAGAAGCTGTGTAGCAGAACCAGCGATCTACATTGGTATCAAGAAGCAGAGCAGTAATTCGCATACATAAGACTGAAATTAATTTGCGGTTCATTCCAAGTCAGTAGTAATACTGCTGTTTTACTGAATTATTACTAAGCTACCCCCTATATCTAAGCTTCAGGATTATTGTCTGAGTGCCCATATTTAAACCGCCGCATTGATATAAATTGGGGCTTATGTAGTAATGCAGTAAAACCACAAAAGGGGTTTCTGGGCTGAAAAGTAAATTAAAATTTTAGTCCATGCCGGAATGGACGGATTGCCACGCTGGACGGTACAATCGACACTCAATTCTCATCTACCAGAGGTCTGTCATCGTCTTTCGCTATTTTTCTTTCTAACCTCTGGCAATGCTTCGCCATGACAGTTACATAATATATATCCAAAACAAATAATATAAAATCGCCAATAAGGACCAACCCTGAAGTAACCATTAGACAGGCATGTGATTAGTCAGACGGCACGCTACAAATACTTACTTGCTGTACATCGTGCGGTTTTCAGAACTGTGGAGCGAAATGGCAGGAAATGTCATGTTCAAAATAGTGTTTAAAAGTTTCGAATAGCATTGAGACAAATCAAACCCCTGAGTACCCTACAGAGCTAGGGCATAGTTAGAGCGTCTGGCTGGCTGTTCGATTTTTTCAACAACCATTGAGATTTTTGTGCCACAAATTCCTGTGCTTCATTTGGATGGCAAATCTATTGTAAATTCAGCAAAATAGCGTTGTCGGGATTTGTTTTCTCCTGTGTATGAATGGAGGAAGAAGTCATTTATTACTGTTCCTCCATAGTTATCGTTCATTAAGTTATTCATCGCTGATATCATGTGCCGATTTTTAGACAAAAAGGGGATAAAAGGAAAGTTAGCAGCCACTGAACGGTAGGTTATCCGTAAACTTTCATGATAAGGCTACTTCTGGAGTACTTCTTTTCAAAAGTTAATTGTGAGGACGTTAAACTCTTCTGCAGTGTCATCTGCAAGGAGTGTGCTTTTCAAAGAAGAGTGGACAACAGCCATGTGGTAAGTATAGTGCGGAGCCCCTTGCTACCTTATAAAGCGGTATTCACTGATCAACCTCAAAAGCAAGAGAGGCAAGTGATCACACTAAGGTTCGAATCCGGATCCCATCAGCTGAGACTCCGACGAGTCGGTGGAGCAATCCAGGTTCATAGCCAGTCATCAGGTGGGTCAAGCGAAGTGATGTGAATTCCTAATAGTTAACAAGAAAAATTTACTGCAGTTGATGGAACTGGAAAGCGGCGCCTCTAACATATGTATAAAACTACAAAACACTGCGAAAAAAACTGCTAGCCCACTGATGTACTCCACTACCTCATAAACTTGCTGACTCTGAAACAAGTCTTTTTGACAGTCGGTAAACTCCTGCTCGCCTTCTTGCGCACTCCCTTCGAAACTACTCACATCAAGACATTCTTGTCTGCCAATCCAAAAAAATCAAATTCTAACTCAAGATTCGGGCGCTGAAGACATCATGTTTAGACCAGTGTTGCTCAGGCAGACTCGCAGTCGAGAAGCATTTGATTAGAGTCATGGTCGGATTACTTTCTGTTCACTTCTCTGAACTGAGTACCAGTAGCTAATTCCCTAACCAGTTATACTAAACGAAAATAAATATGGTAAAAACTATATTGTCCCAACGTGTTTATGCAGCACTCCGGTAGCATCTTCCATCAGACATCATTAATCTGGGTACTCCAGTGACTCTGATACTCCAGATGGCGAAGACAACAACAACAACAATTAGGGCACTACATTATATTGGCATGGTGCTGAATCGCGTCAATCACAAATTTCTACTGCCTCTGTTTCTCTCCATTTAGTACAATCGACTGTCGATCAGTAAATTAGGCACAGCTCTAACAATAGGCCAAGAGTCGCAAACATGATATCTTAAATAAGTATCACTTTGTGGTAAAGGAAGGAGAATACGATATGGTACATCTGTCACAGAGAAGGCAAAATTCGTGGCTGATGGCACACTAACAGAGATCAGCGAAGCACCATAAACACCAGAATTTGAAAGGCACCCCCCCCTAAAATAGCACCCTCATAGAAGTATCGGGAAGGCCGACATCGCAGCAACTACAAACAGTCCTTTCTTTCTTACGTACTGCCTAACAATGTATTGACACTAATCACATTCATCCCTGCTTGCATCAAAATGTACGATGGGGATCACGCATTCATCGAGGTGGCGCATTCAATGCTCACAACAGCTTACATACATTCGTCGCAGTAAGCCAGCTTACCGGATTCGTGTTCGACTAATGACTTCTGAGGTCGACATGCTCAGATTATTGCGACTGTGTGGGTTGCCATAACCTGCAGCGACGGTATCTTTCAGGATCGCTTCTAGAAGATCAGAAGAACAACGAGGAGCTCCAGCGTTGTCCAAATATATCAAATCCGGGTTCATTTCGGACAACTCAAACGTGTTCCTATAAGCATAGTACAATTAAACAATTCAGCCAGTATACGGTTAATTTTTCAATAAAACACGGAAAACAGAACAAAACATGACATGCAGGACTTCGTGAACTTTAAAGTGAAAATCGACCATGG